GATTGTTTGCAAAAAGACATTAACCGAGGAAGAAGCTACACAATTCCGAAAGGCAGTCGCAAAAGACTATTATTTCCAAATGTACTATGATGACTTGCCCATTTGGGGTTTCCTGGGGAAAGTGGAGAGGGAAGGAAAATCTGACCCCAACGAGTACAGATATTATATATTCAAACATCTCCATTTTGAGATCTTCTACAATAAGGATTGTGTAATTGAGATAAATGCACGAACTGACCCCAGTGCCCTTGTAGACCTTACCGAGGATAAGGAAGTTGATGTGGAGTTCATGTACTCTGTGAAGTGGAAGGAAACAAAAACTCCCCTTGAGAAGAGGATGGAAAAGTACTCACAGTCCTCTTCGTTACCTCGACACTTGGAAATACATTGGTTCTCAATAATCAACTCTTTTGTGACAGTTCTTCTAACTGGTTTTCTGGCTACTATTCTTATGCGAGTCTTTAAGAATGATCTTGTCAAGTGAGCACATTGTTTATGTTTGATTATGAATTTCCTTTGATGTTCAAAATTGTTCACTTATTCTATTTATCAAAAGGTATGCTCATGACGAGGAGACAGCTGATAACCAAGAAGAAACTGGCTGGAAAGTTATCAATGGTGATGTATTCAGGTATCCGAAGTACAAATCCTTATTTGCCGCTGCCCTAGGTTCTGGTACCCAGTTATTTACCCTGTAAGTATACGTATCTCTTTGAGCTATTGCTTGGAATTGGACTCATTGATCACTTTACTGATAACTAATTGTTGGAAATTTGCTAACTTCAATCACAATTTTTTTTCCACAGCACAGTATTTATTTTTATCCTTGCACTAGTTGGTGTATTTTATCCATATAACCGTGGAGCTCTATTCACTGCACTGGTTGTCATTTATGCTCTTACATCTGGGATTGCTGGCTATACGGCAGCCTCTTTCTATTGCCAACTAAAAGGAACAAACTGGGTATGTTTTATCCTCTTCCATAACTCCATTCTTTTACTTCTTTTATGCTATCCATAACCAAAACTGTAATAAAATTATACCATGTTTCTAGGTATATCCGTCTCCCTCTGACAACAAAAGTAAATAAAAAAGAAATAAAAAAAGATGTTGATATATCGTTGCTTCTGCTGTTTAATAGTTTATTTCTTTTTTTTTTGTTTTTGGCATTTGGCAAAAATGACAAAAAAGTAAAGGTTTGCCTAAATGTACCAATGTATTGGGTCAGCTTCAATTGTCAAGATTTCTGAGTGCATGCGGGGGAATGTTTCTTTCAATTGGCAATTTCCTCCTTTGTTTTGCATTAATTAATAATTTTTAAGAAATATAAATTTCTTACTGTAGATCTATGGTTGGAAAATGAAAAAAATACAATATAAGTAGGAAATTAAGCATGTGTTTGAGCTCCATTTTTTTTTTTCTAAAACTCATTTTTTTCAAAATTCATTTTCAACCACACAAGCTCTTATAAAATAATTTTACACATAAACCCAAATTTTTTTCTACTGTTTACCTACACGTTAAAAATCACTATTTTAAAACCTATTTTTCCCAAAAATATGGGGCTCAATTCTTGACTCAAATGACACACTTTTTCATTCTGCTTCCTTAGTACTGTTGCCATTGCATACACTGCCACTACAGCACTTCTGTTCGGGACTATTGTGGTTATCTTTCTTATTTGGGCCCTTGTGACATCACCTTTGTTAGTCATGGGCGGAATCGCCGGAAAGAATAGCAAGGTAGAGTTTCAAGCTCCATGCTGCACTACAAATTACCCCCGAGTGATCCCACCTTTGCCTTGGTACCGTGGAACGTTGCCTCAGATGACGATGGCTGGATTCTTGCCTTTCAGCGCCATTTACATTGAACTTTACTACATATTTGCCAGTGTATGGGGCCATAGGATCTATACTATCTACAGCATCTTATTTATAGTCTTCGTCATCCTCTTGATTGTTACTGCTTTTATCACCGTTGCGTTGACATACTTCCAGCTTGCCGCTGAAGACCATGAATGGTGGTGGAGGTATTACATCTTATCCTTATAAGAGATGTTTTTGCTGCTTTTTGTTTAGTTTAATCACGCGTCATCTTCTAATGTTGACTGCTGATGTAGGTCTTTTCTTTGTGGTGGATCAACTGGGCTGTTCATCTATGCTTACTGCTTGTATTACTATTATGCAAGATCAGATATGTTGGGCTTCATGCAAACCTCATTCTTCTTCGGATACATGGCTTGCATTTGCTATGGTTTCTTTCTCATGCTCGGCACAGTTGGTTTCCGAGCTGCACTCTTTTTTGTCCGTCACATATACCGCTCGATTAAGTGCGAGTAGCAACTTGGTTGGTAGCTTCTCAATGCCCTATAAACTTTGGCAAGCCAAAACAGGACTTCTCAACTGCGAGATTGACGGATCGGTACATTCGAACAATTTATATTGTTATTTTAGTTTCAGAGTTATCTATATTCTGCCTTTTTGTCCTTCGAAATCTAAGATGGTAGAATGGGCAGAGATGAAGGTGGTTTTTCTCAGTATATGTATATGTTTATTTTCTTTTTGCAGAATGTTCTTGACACTTGTATACCATCTTTTCCTGGTTCGTAGTTTAGAATCATCACCTCATATAAAATATATCCAACTCCATCCCATCCCAATCCAATTTAATCCCAAATCCAAATATTCATTTCTCTCCATTTTCTCTCCTCACTCTCTCTACCTAACCCACGCCTGCACGCGCCGCCGCACCCACTGCTGGAGACCACGGTCGAACTCACAGCGGCGGTCGCTCACCATGGAGTCGTGACTATTGACGACTCGCTCAAGCTAAAGTCACTATTAAATGCCAGATTGCTAGAGATATGAGATTTGAGTGCCGCCGTAGCTGGAAATTGCACCGCCGTCTCACTGAAAATAGGGAAGTTGTGATAAATTCAAGGAGCGATTTGAGATTTAAGCTGGTAATTATTGGATGAAATTAAACAGACAGATGAACTAAAAAATAATGAACTGAAAATAAACAGAGAAAAACGGAAGATAGACCTGCTGGAAGGCAGGGAAGAAGATGAACTTTAATTCATACTTGTTTAAGGAAATTATATTGCAATCTATTCTATTTATAGAGAAAATACTAACCAATTATATGTCTAAAATACTTCATACATTTCTTTTACCGTGCATGGTTATTACTGGACAACATCAACATAGTAC